AATCAATAAATGTAATTCATCATATCAATAGACTTAAAGATAAGAACCATATGATCATCTCAATAGACACAGAAAAAGCATTTGACAAAATACAGCACCCCTTTATGTTCAAAACACTAGAAAAACTAGGGATAACAAGAACTTACCTCAACATGGTAAAAGCTATTTACGCTAAGCCTCAGGGCACCATCATTCTAAATGGATAAAAACTGAAGGCATTCCCTCTAAAATCTGGAACAAGACAGGGATGTCCTCTCTCACCACTTCTATTCAACACAGTTCTTTAAGCACTGGCCAGAGCAATTAGACAAAATGAAAGAAATTAAAGGAATAAACTATAGGAAAAGAAGAACTTAAACTAGCACTATTTGCTGATGATATGATTCTAGACCTAGAAGACCCAAAAAACTCTACCAAGAAACTTCTAGAACTAGTAAATGAATTCAGCAAAGTGGCAGGATATAAAATCAACACCCATAAATCAAAGGCATTTCTGTATATCAGTGACAAATCCTCTGAAAAGGAAATGAGGAAAACTACCCCATTCACAATATCCTCAAAAAAATACTTGGGAATCAACTTAACAAGAGAGATGAAAGATCTATACAATGAAAACTATAGAACCCTAAAGAGAGAAATAGAAGAAGACCTTAGAAGATGGAAAGATCTACCTTGCTCATGGATAGGCAGAATTAATATTATTAAAATAACCATATTACCAAAAGCACTATACAGGTTCAATGCAATTCCAATCAAAATCCCAGTGGCATTACTCATAGAAATAGAAAAAGCAATCATGACATTTATCTGGAAAAACAAGAGACCCAGAATAGTAAAAGCAATTCTAAGTAGGAAGAGTGAAACAGGTGGTATCGCTATACCAGACCTTAAACTATACTACAGAGCAATAGGAACAAAAACAGCATGGTAGTGGCACCAAAACAGGCTGGTAGACCAATTGTTACAGTATAGAGGACAAAGGACTAACCCACAAAATTACAACTACCTTATTTTAGATAAAGGTGCCAAAAGCATGCACTGGAGAAAGGATAGCCTCTTCAACAAATGTTGCTGGGAAAACTGGAAATCCAGATGCAACAAAATTAAATTGAATCCCTATCTCTCACCATGCACAAAAGTTAACTCAAAATGGATCAAGGATCTAGGAATTAAACCAGAGACCCTGAGTCTAATAGAAGAAAAAATAGGACCTAATCTCCATCACGTGGGATTAGGCCCCAACTTTGTTAATAAGACACCTATAGCACAAGAATTAAAACCAAGAATCAACAAATGGGATGGATTCAAACTAAAAAGTTTTTTCTCAGCAAAAGAAATAATATGTGAGGTGAATAGGGAGCCTACATCCTGGGAATAAATTTTTACCCCTCACACATCAGATAGAGCTCTAATCTCTAGGGTATATAAAGAACTCAACAAGATAAGCACCAAAAAACAAATAATCCAATCAATAAATGAGCCAAGGACCTGAACAGATACTTCTCAGAAGAGGATATACAATCAATCAACAAATATACAAAAAAATGCTCATCATCTCTAGCAATCAGAGAAATGCAAATTAAAACCACCCTAAGATACCATTATCACTCCAGTAAGAATGGCAGCCATTATGAAGACAAACAACAACAAGTGCTGGTGAGGATGTGGGGAAAAAGGTATAGTCATACACTGATGGTGGGACTGCAAATTAGTACAGCCAATTTGGAAAGCAGTATGGAGATTCCTTGGAAAGCTGGGAATGGAACCACCATTTGACCCAGCTGTCCCTCTCCTCGGTCTATACCCAAAGGTCTTAAAAACAGCAGACTACAGGGACACAGCCACATCAATGTTTATAGCAGCACAATTCACAATAGCTAAACTGTGGAGCCAACCTAGATGTCCTTCAATGGATGAATGGATAAAAAAATGTGGCATTTATACACAATGGAATATTACTCAGCACTAAAAAAGAATAAGATCATGGCTTTTGCAGGGAAATGGATGGCATTAGAGCAGATTATGCTAAGTGAAGTTAGCCAATCCCCCAAAAACAAATGTCTTCTCTGATATAAGAGGGATGACTCAAAATGAGGTAGGGAGGGAGAGCATGGGAGGAAGATTACCTCTAGATAGGGAAGAGGGGTGGGAGGGAAAAGGAGGGAGAAGGGGAATAGTATGGATGGTGGAAGGAGACCCTTATCGTTATACAAAATACATGTATGAAGACGTGAATTTGGTGTCAACATACCTTATATACAGAGATATGATAAATTGTGGTATAAAGGTGTATTAAGAATTGTAATGCAAAATAATAATAATAAGAGAGCTCATGTATAATGGCAAAAAAAGAAACGTTTGTTTGGTTAAGGCAAAATCCACCCTCCTTTCTAGGTGTGCAGATGGACGTTGAAGAAAAGGGCAATAGCCCTTGGAACTCTCTTGTCAATTCCCATCCTGCAAATGGTGATTCAAGGGCACCTTTCAGTGTCCAGGACTGTGAAAGTCACACAGGAGCAACTTGCTCCTGTGTCTCAGCAGCAGTATTGGCGAAATTACCCACCATGTCGACCCACTCTATTTGCTGAGTGATTGAACCACAGCTACTTTAGGCCTAGGCAAGATTAACTGGACCATAAATATTTTCCTGATGATAGTATATGCAGGTGTAATCAAGAGCCAACCATCTGTTTTGCTTATAATAAACTACCTCTGCAAGTAAAACTAAAACAAAACAAAAAGAAGAATGAAATTATGGCATCTGCCAGTAAATGGATAGAACTGAAGACTAGTATGCTAAGTGAAATAAGTCAATCCATAAGAACCAAAGGCCAAATGTTTTCTTTGATATGCAGATGCTGATTTACAATAAAGGTGGCAGCTAGGGAAGAATAGAGGTACTTTGTATTAGGAAGAGGGGAATGAAGGAGGGAAGGGTTATGAGGGTAGGAATGATAGTAAAATGAATTAGATATTATTACCCTATGATTTTTTTTGTTTTCTATGACATTTTTATTAGTTCTAATCAGTTATACATGGTAGTAGAAAGCTCTTCAATTCATTTATATACAAACAGAGCACAATTTTTCACTTCTCTTGTTGTACATGAAGTATGTGAAGTACCATTCGTGCAATCATACATGTACCTAGGGTAATGATGTCAGTCTCATTACACCATCTTTCCTACACCCATGCCTCCTCCCTCCCTTCCCCTTGGCCCCATCCAAAGTTCCTCCACTAATTCCATGTACCCTCCCCCCCCAACATTATGGATTAGCATCCACTTATCAGAGAAAACATTTGGCCCCTGGTTTGGGGGATTGGCATGATATTCTCCAACTCCATCCATTTACCTGCAAATGCCATAATTTTATTCTCTTTTAATTCTGAGTAATATTCAATTGTGTATATGTGCATGGTTTCTTTATCCATTCATCTATTGAAGGGCATCTAGGTTGGTTCCACAGTTTAGCTATTGTGAGTTGTGCTGCTATAAACATTGATATGGCTGTGTCACTGTAGTATGCTGTTTTTAAGTCCTTTGGGTATAGATGGAGGAGTGGGACAAGTGGGTCAAATGGTGGTTCCATTCCAAATTACTAAGGAATCTCCATACTGCTTTCCAGATTGGCTGCACTAATTTACAATCCCACCAGCAATGTATAAGTGTGCTATGTGCATACATGATTATGTGACCAGTATATCTCTACATCATATACAATCAGAAGAATGAGAAGTTATTCTGCATCTATGTATGATGTATCAAAATGCAGTCTACTATCATGTATAGCTAATTAGAACAAATTTTTTAAGAAGCTCAATATCATCACTAATCCTCAGGAAAATGACAATCAAAAGCAACGTGTAATATTACTTCAAAACTGGTAGGATGACTACTATCAAAAATAAAAGGAGGGGCTGGGGATGTGGCTCAAGCGGTAGTGTGCTCGCCTGGCATGCACGGGGCACTGGGTTCTATCCTCAGCACCACATAAAAATAAAATAAGGATGTTGTGTCCACCAACAACTAATAAATAAATAAATAAATAGATATTTAAAAAATAAAAATAAAATAAAAGGACAACAAGTGTTGGCAAGAATGTGTAGATAAGAGAACATAGGAATGATGCAGCCACTGTGGAAAATAACATAGAAGTTTTCCAAAGAAATTTAACATAGAATTGCTATATGACTCAGCAATCCCGCTTCTGGACACATATAAAAAAGAACTGAAATCAGGATCTTGAGGAGGTATCTTAGTTCTATGTTAATAGCATCAATGTTCACAATAGCCGAGATGTAGAAACAATCTAAAAGTCCAGTAACTGATGAATAGATAAAGGAAATGTGGCATAAATATACAACAGAATATCATTCAGCCTTAAAAAGAAGGAAATCATATGCAATAATTTGGATGAATGTCTTAATGTCTTTTAGACATTAAGCTAAGTGAGATGAGCCAGTCACAGAGAGAAAAATAATGAATGATTCCACTTATATAAGGTATCTTAAATAGGCAGACCCATAGAAACAGAGTACAATTGTGGTTGCCAAGGGATGGGGAAATGGACAAATAGGAAGTTGCTTTATAAAGTTTCAGTTACGCAAGATGACTAGGTTCTAGGGATCCGTTATACAGCATTATGCTATTGTTAACAATATTGTATTGTGTACTTAAAAAAAGTTTTAAAGAAGATAGACCTTCTAAGCACAGTTATTCCTTAAAAGCTGCAAATCATGAGAACTGATGTTTTCCTCTTGAACTGTTTTTCTTCTATTTTTTAAGTACTCATATGAATACTAAACAAACATAAAGGTAATGTCCCTAAGAATAGTGGAACATGCACGATTTTAGTAAGAATCTCAAAGCTTTGAAAAGTTGTGTCAGAGCATTAGAATTGCTGAAAAATAAAACAAATGTATACAAACCATTCAAATAAAAACCACTGAAACTGTACCTCATGTGAACATATTCCATGTCACTCTGTTAAAAATCTCACCTCGAAATTTACTGTTTCAAAAGCTTCTAGGGCCTCTATGTGATTGCTGTCTTCTGTTTCCAGACATTCAGTCAAATCACGGCACCACATAATTTGAGAAATTGTCAGGATAACCTGAGGGATGGGGGCAAAGAAAAGAAAACAAAAACAAACATCCTCATTAATTTTGATGTATCTCACCAAAGAAGAATCCAGAAATGGAAATTTAACCAGTTTGCTTGTGTTACTTGAGAAGGGTGGCCTGCCACCACCCATTGTGTCCTTGGTTTCCCCTGATAATCAGCAATGGCAGCTTTGCTCAGGCGCCGCAGAGATGTGAACATGGCCTCTTCCACTTTACCAAGCCATTCCTCCACATTGCCTCGAGCCTTGAGGCCTTTTCCCAAGCCAACCTAGAAGGTAATCAGAGCAATGATATAATGGTTCAGGTAGGACTTGTAAGCTACACAAATCTTCTTTATTTCTATAACAGATCCCTAAGTTATATAAATACTGAAAGCTGAAAACAAATACTAGAATTTTCTATTGCCATCCCATCATCCTCCTCCAACATATAAATACTGCACTGTTTTACTGTTTACTCTTGGAGCCAACTCCTTATAAGAGGAATATATACGTGCTACATGAATTTCTTCAATTATTTCCATTTTTGTACTTATCATCAGATTTTTATTCCCAACGTTTCCTCTAAACCTGTTCTCATTAAAGTTACCCATGTCCTCCCAACTGAAAGGTCCAATTGACACTCTTTAGTACATCTCATGTTTATTTCTTAGACTTCAAATGACCTAAATATTTGCTTGTTTTGGACACCTTCATCTGTTCTTCTAACCTCCCTTTAAATTTCATGTTTCCCCAAGACTCTATCCTTAATCCTCCCCTTTTTCTTCTTCTGCACCATGAGCAAAATCTTTTGCAAGAAGTTCAATTCAGGATAAAAATAAATGTTTATGGGGTCCCACTCCTCCTACAGATACACTATTATGCTCCAACTGAACCTAATTCCTTGGCATTTCTTTGCATAGTTCTTCTGTCTATAATGCTTTTCACTTTTGTGACCATACAACAGATACTTCTCACCTTTTTTTTTACTGTATATGTGTGTGTGTGTGTGTGTGTGTGTGTACATGCATGGCACTTGCTTGATTCCTCACAGTTGGCCAATACATTCATTCTCTTAGTGTTCACCATATTCTAGGTGCTGTGAAATGCACTGGAGATGCTACCACTAGTAACTAACACACAATGCTCACTGGGTATTGCTTTAAGTACCCAGTAAAATTTATATAAAGTAATACCTGAAAGTTATCACGCCACTAATCAGGTACTAATCCTCACTTTATATAGGTGATTAAATGGGGTCTTAAATCTAGGTGGCCTGGCAAAGAACTGGCACTCTAAACTAATCTACTATTTTGCCTCTTGTGGAGAGTTGGGTAAGACATGTTTCCTGTTTTCTCCACTTTGTTTCTAAGAACAGAGCACATGTCTCTGTTACAGCATTTTCTGTGTGATTTTTAATTGTTTGATAATTTCTCCATTAGAGTTTGAGTTCTGTCAGAACAAAGGTTTTTTCTTGGTTATCCTTGAAACCACTGAGCTCGTAGAGCACCTGGCATGCTTAGAATGAGAATGTGCAGATATCTACCCCAGCACTGGGAGAGTAACAATTTATCTTTGAGGATTTATAAACAAAAGCACCTCACCCTTTCTCCCTCTGGTGACAGCATCGCTAAGATATCATTAGTGTAAACCTTTTCTGGCTCTCCGTCAACATTAGGAATTCTTCCTTCAGCAGGAGGCATGAGAGCAAATTCAAGCCTTGAAATGGAGTCAAAGCATTTCCTTAAGTGAGGCTGAACAGCCTGTGGATTTCGTGTCTGGGCCAAGATTTCCAGAAGTTCATCATTTGACAAGAAGTAAAATCTGTATTCAAGAGAATCTTTAAAATATAACTTGAAATTGAAGCTAAGCCTTAGGCAGATATAGAAGATAAATTACTTAGGCACATCTCTTCTAATCCACTAATTTCCTGGACCTTTATTTATACTAGATCTGGATTCATGGGGAAACCACATTTCTCTTAATAAATTTTCTATAAATATTAGTGATGATGCAGTTCAAATACCTAGAATTGACATATTTTTCATAACATATTATAAAATTGCTAGCTTTTGTTATGATACTGATTTATTAACATCTGTATTACTAGCATTTGAGCTCCTAGGGTGAAGATATATTATTTCTTCTCCCTAGAATCCATCTTGCCTAGTAACTCACACATACCTACTATTCTATACATTATTTGTTCAATAGGTGAATGAGTGTTTTCAGGAACCTTATTTGGTTCTATTAATGTATAGTGGGTAATCATTATGATTCAAAAGCATATGCTGGTCCCTGAAGCATGTGCTATGTTGAAAGTCACAGAATATTATTTTGCCAATTAACCATTTACAACTATATAAAGGCTATACTTGTGCAAAGAAAACTATTTTGTGTATGTTTCATTGTCATTATCAGCAAGACGGGTTTAAAAAATGTAAACTTACAGAATAAGGGTTTGGTAAGTTATAGCCCACATGACAAATCAGGCCTGCCATCTGTTGTTGTCAATAAAGATCTTTTGTCACACTGACATGCAGATATACTTTGTATGGCTTCTTTTGGGCTACAATAGGGGAGTTGAGTATTTGCAACAAACTGTATGGCCTGCAAATCTTTAAATATTTACTCGGTGGCCTTTTATTTAAAAAGAAAGACTGATCCCTGCTCTAAATAATGAAATATTCTTCTAAATTTGTCTTTAGTAATACATTTTCTATATTATGTTTAATTTATCCAAAAGTATTTGATTGTCATGTATAGCTAATCTGAGTTTCCTTAATTCCAGTATGCCTTGCTGATTTTATTTCTCTGATTGATTTCTTTATAATGCTATTTAAAAACAATGCTTGTAATGCTTTTACAACAACTTAAATAAAAATTGGTTTGGAATAAAAAGAATCCTTCCAGCACTTATCCACTTAAATCTTTACCAAATATTGATAACTTATTCTTCAGACTTACACTCCCAATCAAAATACAAGCTGGATTTTCATTGTCACAAATCTTTCTTGCTTCTCTCTCTGCTGGAAAACTATTAAAAAATGCCTTAGGTTGCCTTATAAACTTACCTTGGAAAGATAACTCTTTTGGATTCTAAATAGGCCTCTAGACACTTCTGAATTTGGTCAAGTAATGCATTATTGTTTTGAAAAGTTTCCAGAAGTCCTGTTCATTGAAAAAAAATAGTATTGTCAAAATTGTATTAAAATAGAGACTATGACTTTAAATGAAAGTAAAATATAATACTCAAATTTTAAAAAACTTAGCTTTACTTGATAGAAGAATGGACTAATAAAAGTGTGGAATTGGCTAAGAATTTAACATTACTTTTAATAACAACATTAATTTTAATATTTACCATATATTAACAAATATATTTGAAATATAGTTGGCTTCGATTTTTAGAAGTCTGGGAGAACACAAACAAAAGCCAGGTATTTGCCTTCTCCTTCATTTTCCAAATAAAGCCAGTCTCAAGAACCTCCCCATTCTCTGTCACTTTCTTACTTTTACTATCCTCTGTATCCTCTGCTATCTTTAAAGGACAAAACTGGGGCAATAGAACACTATTTCTTCATTACTAATCCTTGGTTCTATCTTTCCATATAGGTTTTTCTTTCTGTTTGTTTCTTATATAAGATTTTTTGGAAAGAGAGCACAATCCAACAACCTTCCCTTGCTTGGCAGGGAAGTTGTCTGTGAATATTCACCAAGATAGTCTATGTGTTGCCATTTGCTATATGATAAGCAGGTTTGATGAGACTTTGGTCTAAAGAGTAGTATTACCATGTATATGCACCCAGAAAGATTGGTTTCATACCCAGAGAACAGAATTTATTAAAACATTTCAACTTTGAGTCTAGAATTGCAGTAAGTGGTAATATTTTTAACTAGTATTAATTAATGAATTAAAAATAAGGTGTGGAAATTTTTGTGCTTATGTCTGTGGGAAACTTTGATACAGTACGTCAACTGAATATAAATATATGTCTTGTTGACATTGTGAAACTGTAAAAAAAGTCAAAATTGTTAAAAAAATGTGAGGTAGAAACATTATTGATACCCTGTGTCAACATCCTCAAATTATAAAAATAGAAAAAAGAGAAGTAAATACTTATTTTCCAACATTACACATTAAGCTGAGAGATGATAATAATAAAAGGTACAGTGTTCCATGAAGTGTTAAAAGTACCATATACTATTAAATTCTTATAGGTGACAAACATTTTAGATGATTGCAAAATCTTTTTACTTGTGTTTAAATATTTGTTTTATACCAGGTTGAGTAGAAGCTCGAAGAGCATTAGGCAGCCGGTTCACTTTCCTCATGATTTCTTTCCATGATTTATCCACTTGAAGGAACATCTTGGCCTCTGCAGGCAATTGCCTCTGAATATCTGGAGCATTAAAAATACTTTCTAGGTAGAGCCAGTTTCTTTGGCAGGTAAGCCATTCTTCCTAGGAGAAAAATATGGGCTCTATCAAAATTTAACTTTCAAATATAAGATATTCAGTTACATTAAAAACTACCACATGGTGGGGCTGGGATTGTGGCTCAGTGGTAGAGTGCTTGCCTAGCATGTGTGAGGCACTGGGTTGGATCCTCATCACCACATAAAGATAAATAAATAAATATATTGTGTACATCTACAACTAAAAAAATATTTTAAAAACCTTATCAAATGGGGAATTACTATATCTTTTCTCCTGAGGATTCATGGTTCCTTCCATGTACTTTGAAATGAAATTTTCTTAAAGGGTCCAAGACTCACCTCCACCTGATTTCACCCCACTGTCCATTGATTAGTGTTACAATGAGTCTGCCGCATGATTAAATGCCTGGAAGAAACAAGCTAGGGGGAGATGAGATCCTTACTTAATTAACATGAAGGGTTGGGAAAGTGGAAAGTTTAGTGACTATTCCAAATTTACCCTGGGTTACCATGAAAAAATTTGTTTTGGATTAGGGTTTCACTGTGTTGCTGAGGCTGGCCTCAAGTCTGTAATCCTCCTGCTTCCTTAGCTTCCTGAGTAGGTGTGACTATAGGTGTGCAATATTGTGCTTGGGTTTTTTTTTTTCTTTCTAAATCATGAAGCTTTTCTTTGCATTTTTAAAAATTTGTGTTTTAGTTGTAGATGGACACAATATCTTTATTTTTATTTTTTTATTTTTATGTGGTACTGGGTATCGAACCCAAGGCCTCTTGTGTATGAGGCAAGTGCTCTACCACTGAGCCCCAGCCCTTTGCATTTTTTTAAGAAAGGAAAAATCATAAAACCTGCTCATAACAAAACATGTGGAAAGTATAAAAGTCTAGGAGAATGAAGAAAATCATGTATTGTATCTCCTTTTAGAGAAAACTATTGTTAATAAAAGAAACCAGAACATTTTTTCAAATATGTGTTGATTGATTATACATCATTTTCTGAAGTGTCTCCTCAGGTCCTTGGCCCATTGATTGATTGGGTTATTTGTGGGTTTTTTTTGTGTGTGTGTCTATTTTTTTGAGTTCTTTATATACACTAGTGATTAGTGCTCTATCTGATAAGTGAGGGATAAAGATTTGCTCCCAAGATGTAGGTTATCCTCTCTATTCACCTCACAGATTGTTTCTTTTGCTGAGAAGAAACTTTTTAGTTTGAGTCCATCCCATTTATTGATTCTTGGTTTCAATTTTTGTGCCACAGGAGTCTTATTAAGGAAGTTGGGGCCTAATCCCACATGATGGAGATTAGGGCCTACTTTTTCTTCTATTAGACGCAGGGTCTCTGGTTGTATTCCTAAGTACTTGATCCATTTTGAGTTAACTTTTGTGCATGGTGAGAGAGAGGGGTTTAATTTCATTTTGTTGCATATGGATTCCCAGTTTTCCCAGCACTATTTGTTGAAGAGGCTATCTTTTCTCCAATGCATGTTCTTGGCACCTTTGTCTAATACAACATAATTGTAATTTTGTGGGTTAGTCTCTGTGTCCTCTATTCTGTACCATTGGTCTACCAGTCTGTTTTGGTGCCAATACCATGCTGTTTTTGTTACTATTGCTCTGTAGTATAGTTTAAGGTCTGGTATAGTGATGCCACCTGCTTCACTCTTCCTGATAAGGATTGCTTTAGCTATTCTGAGTCTCTTATTTTCTAGTTGAATTTCATGAGAAATGCAAATCAAAACCACTCTAACATTTCATCTCACTCCAGTCAGAATGGCAGCTATTATGCATTCAAACAACAATAATTGTTGGCAAGAATGGGGGAAAAAAGTACACTCATATACTGCTGGTAGGACTGCTAATTGGTACAGCCAATATGGAAATCAGTATGGAGATTCCTTGGAAAACTGGGAATGGAACCCCCCTTGACCCAGCTGTCCCTCTCCTCGGTCTATACCCAAAGGTCTTAAAAACAGCATACTACAGGGACACAGCCACATCAATGTTTATATCAGCACAAATCACAATAGCTAAATTGTGGAACTCCTAGATGCCCTTCAATAGATGAATAGATTAAAAAATGTGGCATATATACACAATGGAATATTACTCAGCAATAAAAGAGAATAAAATCATGGCATTTGTAGGTAAATGGATGGAGTTAAAGAAGATAATGCTAAGTGAAGTTAACCAATCCCAAAAAAACCAAATGCCCAATGTTTTCTTTGATATAAGGAGGCTGATTCATAGTGGGATAGGGAGAGTGAGCATGGGAGGAATAGACGAACTCTGGATAGGGCAGAGGGGTGGGGGGGGGAAGGGAGAGGGCATGGTTAATTAATGATGGTTGAATATGATAATCATTGTTATCCAAAATACATATATGAAGACACAAATTGGTGTGAATATAGTATATATACAAGCAGAGATATGAAAAATTGTGCTCTATATATGTAGTAAGAATTGTAATGCATTCTGCTGTTATATATAAATAAAAAAAGGAACTTATGAGGGCTGGGGTTGTGGTTCAGTGGTAGAGCACTTTCCTAGCATTGATGTGAGGCATTGGATTTGATTCTCAGCACCACATATAAGTAAATGAATAAAAGGAAAAAAATAAAAATAAAAGAAACCAGAAATGCAGGGTCAGAAATCAAAGTCTATAGACTTTACCTTTCCTTAAGGTCTCCTGCCATTGCAAGTGTGGGCCCAACATCTATTAGAGAGTTTCTTACTTCTCACTCTAGAGATGGGAGTTACACCTATATGTGTTTCAACCTGGTTTTTCTATGGTCTCATACTTTCCAGACAATGAATTCTCTGAGGGTCCCCACTATTCAGTACAGGCTTCTTTTAAGAACCCTCTGTGAAAATATGCCCTTTGACTTTGGTCTGTAGTCCCTTCATAAGGCTCATCATCAGTGCAGAGGCTGGACCTGGGTCAGCTATGTAGTATTCATTGAAGAGGATGGTTTTCTGAAAAGTTTCCTTTGAAATAAAGGTGAGAAGGCTAGGGGAGTAGCTCAGTATTAGAGTGCTTGACTAGTATGTGTGAGGCTCTGAGTTTGATTTCTAGCACTGCAAAAAAAATCTATCTATCTATCTATCCTGGAATAAGTTACATTTTTCCAATTACTGATCTTATTATTTCACATAAAACTTTTCATATTAGAATATGTAGAAAACTTAAACATAATTAAATCAAGCTAAACATCTGATGTGTAAAAGAGAAGAAAGTAGATAGGAAGAAAGTGAGATTGGTATGAATGAGTTCTTGTCTTGTTTGGGGATAAGTTGAGGTACAATAAAAAAGAGGAGTGTGCCACAAGGAAGCATTCCAAGGGGCTTCAAGCAACAATAAATATTCTTCCAGAAAACATAAGGTTGTTGTTCCAAGATGCTTAAGGTGGACCAGGATATGGCACTCAGGCCCTTGTGGGATCCTCCCCTCTTGAGTGTGGTACACCTATGACTTGCTTCTACCCATACAGAATGTGGCAAAGGCAACAGGATGTGCATGATTACATTTGTGTTTAATAACACTGAAGCAGCTATCTTGCCAGGAGATTTTCTTTTCCTTGCTAGATTGATGAAGTAAGTGGCCATGTTGCAGAAATCTACCCAAAGAAAAACTGAGTAACATCTAGGAGCTGAGGATGACCTCCTTATGAGATCCAGTAAGATATTGAAGCCTTTATTTCCAGAGTTGCAAGGAAATAATTTCTTGAAGTAAGGGAGCCTGGAAGTGGATCCTTCCCCAGGTGAACCTTTGGTGAGAATCCTGTCTGGCTCGCATTTTTTATAACAGCCTTGTGAGACCCTGAACAGGCCCAGTACAACCATGTCTGAACTCTTGGACCATAGAAACTTAGATAATAAATATATATTGTTTTACACTATCAATAAATGTACCTTGCTTAAGTTTGTGATATTTCGTTTCATGGAAAAATAACAATACAAGCTGCATAATTATGTAAAGAGCTCAATACATGTGTATTTTCCTTACATTCCAGATATAATAATATCAAAAATTAAATCATACATTTCTAAATTATATAGTATTTAAATAGTGAAACAAACATTTCTAAGGGCCTTATGGCTCTCCAGTTCTTGGACGCTCTGTATTGAAATTACTCTCTTACTTACCAATGTTTGATTAAACAAAGCAAGTTGTTTTTGCCAATCATCCACTCGTGCCTTAAGGGGACCTACATAACGTGATGAGGCAATGGTTGCAATATTGATAGTGCTGTCATCAAGAAGGACCTTTAAGAAAAAGTGGAGAAAATACATGCAATACCATGCATTTGTGCTTTCAGTGATATTTCAGATGTTCAATCCCAAGAGTCCATTTAAAGGCCAACTTTGGGAACAAACAGTTGTAGCTTTAACTACTTTCTACCCATCTATTTTCTCTGCTTATTCCCTTCACTCTGGCAACAACTCTATCATGCAGGGACTTTTGACTACCAAATCTCTGCAGTTCCTATAATTATTAATGGCATTTTATTGGGTTCAACACTTTTTTTCCCTGCTTACTGCTCAGTAAATGGCACCTTCTTTATATAATTTAGTCACACAAGCATACCTTCATTGCTCATCATACATTATATTTGTAAAATCAGCTTTCTTCTGTTAAATAGTTAACATTTTACTTCAACTATCTCAAGTAAGATGAAATTAAAATTCATATCAAGTTCTGAAGGTCTAGGTAGTTTTCCTGTTACCTTCCTCCCTACTGTTCCCCTTTACACAACAATATTCTCACAGAACATGTGGACTTAAAAAGATGTGTCTATTAATCTGGAAGATTTAATTGTTTGTTTTAATCATAAACTTCTGGAAGCAGAAACCCCATCAGTTGGCATTACTTGGCCACATACCGAATGCCCTTTATTTTGAATTTGCTCTTCCATCTATTGCCCAAAGTAATGTCTAGTCTTGCTCTTCCAACCTACACCTGGAAAAAGTCATTGTATTTCCAATTTTGGCCTGGATACCTCCTTAAACTAGGGCTTAGCCTTTTAATTTGGGCTATATGACCCAAATTCCTTTGCCAAACAAATGTGCCTTTATATTTCAAGTGACTAAACATATTTCAACCATGGGTTAGATTTATCTTATTTTGTGATTGATACAGCATGACCACCTACTCCTTATATCAGCAAATTAAGGTGAACTCTTATTGTGCTCATTAATGTTTATTTGCTTCATTGAAACACTTCGAAATACCTTTTATTCTCTTTGGTATTTCTCAGCTGCCACTGTTGAGGTCTGGCTTTTCTTGGCTGATGTATGAAGAATTCTATGATCACTTCAGCCATAACTGATCTCTTTGTTTTTATGGTGCTATCAACTACAAGTACTGTAACTCTTAAATATATATGTCACTTTCATTTCCTAGATAAATATTTCATGTATAAGTATTCAAGTCAATTATTCATATTCATATCTTGTTTCCAAATTTGATTTTTCCTTCACTTATGTTTCATCAACTCATCTCAGTATATCATAAAAAATTTTGGAAGTATGATCAGGATCTTTACCATAAATTTTAACAACCCAGTTACCCACCTGTATGTCATCTGTGCCTCCCAGGATAAATACATCTTTAGTGTCACGATGAGGCAGAACAACAAATTCAGTTGTTTTCCAAGAGTCTTCCACCTTAGAAATAACACAAGATTTTGGAAAATCTAAATTCATTTATGTTTAGGTACTCAATCAGTGGATGTGAAATAAGAATAAGAAAAAACTCTATAATTATCCTATTTTTCCTCTTACTGCCCCTAAAATTCTTAAACATGTCTTCTTGGTAAGGTGATGACATTGATTTGCTTACTTTTATTTGATTAATGTTGACACATAAAAATAACTCATGGTAATTCAATATGCATTGCCTTTCATCTTATGCTTTAAATTAAAAATATTCTTTTATGTAGGCAACTGGAAGATTTGCATGCATTTAAGGCAAGGAGATAGTGTTGTAAGTAGTAAAGCTGTTTGAAATATTTAACACAGTTTTCTTTGGTAGTTTGGCAAATAATGTATTTTTCTCTAAACATCTAACAGATGTTCCTTGGTATATGGGTTTCCTATAAAAGAATGCACATTTCAAATCTTATTGCCATCAAGTTTCTGTTGGGAGACAGGTGAGACAGAAAGAGGGAACTTACAGAGATAATATTAATAATAATGATAATTAATAATACATAATAAATGTAAGAAGAGAATAAAGGGATGCTGATAATAAGAGGGTACAAACTGCAATGGTAAAAAATCCACTTAGATAATAAAAAATTAGTGATATTTATGTTGAGTCTGAAAACCTTTAATTATCTGATTTTAAGAATAAATATGTATTTTCCAGAATTACCTTTTTAAGAATTATTTCCAAGGAAGCTTCTCCAGAAGCCTGTCCAGATATGTCCTGGATTTCTTGGCCAAAATCAAACACATGCAATTCGGAGAGCCTCTCCAAGGTTAATGGAATTTCAGTATCCACCAGGGAGGCATCAACGGTTTGTTCAATAGCTGTCCAATGTCTAGGCTTCAAAGTTGGGTTCCTCAAGTCAATGATAACTGGAAGCTGGAAAACAAACATTCTCAGAGACACCAATGCTGGGGGACAAAAAGACAGTCAATGTAGATAATAAATAATTTGGTCCAACTGGGAAAATAGGGTCTGAGTGGAAAGGAAAGAAAATCAAATGCTGACATCTCCAACTCCCTTCCCCACTTCCAATCTGTTGCTAAGGTAATCTGCCCCAGGAATTGTTTCTCACTGCAGGGAGTTGTTCATTAATGCTTCCTGGGCTGGTCTTCTCCTACCTCTACCCGGTACAGCTTCATTCCACCCTTGGATCACTCCACCTTCACCTTTTAGACACATACACAGATGTGGAGAGGGAGAGGGAATGGCAAGATAAGAGAAGAAGGAGGGCTGAGAACAAAGACATTCTAAAATGTATAAAAAGGGCAGGACACCCCCATTTCTTACTAATAATACTAATTCTATACAATATCTTCTAGAAACCAAGAGGGAATAGTTCCCAACTCATTTTATGAGGCAGCATTACCCTGATACTAAAGCAATGTAATAAGATTACAAGAATACTGTAAATCAATGTTCCTCATGAATATAAGCACAAAAACCACAAACCAGTATAGTATACAGAAATAGACTAAAGCATATAGTCAGATGACTTTTGGCAATAGTGAAAAGGTGATTCAATGGAAAAAGGATAGACTTTTCAAATATTGGAGCTCAATAAATTGGATATCCATATGTAAAAAAGTAAAACTTACATATTCCCTAATACTTCATGCAAAAATAAACCATTTACCTAAACACAGAAAGCTAAACTGCAAAACTTCTGGAAGAAAACACAAAGAAAGCCTACATGTTGTCTTAGATTTCACAAAAAGTGTTTGGATAATATACTAAAAGCTTGATCTGCAAAAGAAAAAAATTATAAAGTGGATTTTATCCAAATTAAAATCTTTTTGCTTTGTAAAAGTTACTGTGCAAGGATTAAAAGTCATTGACTGGTAGAAAATAATTTCAGTATATATTTGAAAAAAAGAATCATACCCAGGATACTTTAATAACTCTTAAGATTCAATTATAATAAAGCAAACAATCCATTTAGCCCATTAAGTCCCAAGTTTTCAACTCTGTAAATATTTAACAAAATTGACACAGATGCATTATAATAGGTTGGAACTCAAAATCTAGAGCTTATATATCCTTCATTTTTTCATACACACACACACACACACACACACACACACACACATATGGAAATGCTTTTTGAAAAATGTTCTTATCATTCATCTATTTGAATAGAGCTCTAAAACAATTATTTCAAAGTTACTAAGTAGTATATTTGTTTCTCAATTTAAGTTTTTATAAGTGGTCTATATCTGGGATAATGGGACAAAATGGGTTAAAATGGGCAAAAGATCTGCACAGACATTTCATCAAAGAACTAGGTATATGGTAAATAGAATATGAAAAGATGTTCACTAGAAAAATGCAAACTATGAACAGTATGAGATGCTACTACATATCTATTAGAATGACTAAAATTAAAATAAACAAGTAAACAAAAAACAAAGCAAAAAAGCTCCCTCCCAATAATAAGTGCTGGTGAGAATGAAGAGAAATAGATTCTTGTACTTTGCTGGTGCAAAGAAAACTAGCAGTTTCACATAAAGCTAAACACATATTTACAATAAAATATAAAAATTCTAATTAATAGTTATTTACTCACATGAATTGATAACTCTTATTCACACAAAAGCCATACTTGGATGTTTATAACTGTTTTGTTTATAATCATTTAAAAAAACCTCAAAGAAATCCAGATGTCTTTCAAGAGTTGATGAATAAAGTGGTACATCTATATGACAGACTACTACCATCAGTTAAAATAAACTATTAATATGTAAATATGAAGGAATCTTTAAAAATTCTAATTAACAGTTAATGCAATTATCAACTCTATCTAATCTTAGAATATTTTCATCACCCCAGTACAACCAATACCTACAGTATCTCTTAGTACTGTTATCTCTCCCTCCCCACAATGCCTGGTAACCAGGAATCCATCTTTTTAAAAGGATATTCTGGATATTTCATATAAATGACATCATGTACCATGAAGGGTTTTTGGTGAATAGCTTATTTTACTTACCAAAATGTTTTTGAGATTCCATCTATGTTGCAGTGTATCAGTGTTTCATTTCTTTTTACTGCTAAATAATATATAAGTGCTAAATAATATGTCACTGTATGGATACATCATATTTTGTTTCTCTATTTATTAGCTGTGAACATTTCAGTTTTTTCCTATGTTAGGCTGCTATGAACATTAATACAAAATTTTTGTGAACATAGGTTTCAATACTTTTTGGTAAATACGTAGGAGTGGAATTAGTTACATGGTACCTCTATGTTTAACATTTTGAGAAACCACCAAACTGTTTTCTAAAGTGGCTGTACCGTGTTACAATCCTACCATAAACATATGAGGGTTCCAATTTCTCCAGCTCTCTTCCAAAATTTATATATAATCTTTTTTGATCATAGTCATTCTAACAGTTGTGAAGCAGTATTTCATTGTGGCTTTGATTTGCATTTCCCTAAAAACTAACAATGTTCAGCATCTTTTTTTTTTATTTTTAATTTTTTATTGTGCGTTGTTCAAAACATTACAAATTTCTTGACATATCATATTCCACACTTTGATTCAAGTGGGTTATGAACTCCCACCTTCACCCCATACACAGATTGCAGAATCACATCAGTTACACATCCATTGATTTACATATTGCCATACTAGTGTCTGTTGTGCTCCGCTGCCTTTCCCATCCTCCACCCTCCCCCCTCCCCACCTCTCCCCTCCCCTCCCCTCCTCTCTCTCTACCCCCTCCACTGTATAACCCTGAGGGTCTCCTTCCATTACCATGCAATTTCCCTTCTCTCTCCCTTTCCCTCCCACCTCTCATCCCTGTTAAATGTTAATCTTCTTCTCCTGCTCTTCGTCCCTACTCTGTTCTTAGTTACTCTCCTTATATCAAAGAAGACATTTGGCATTTGTTTTTTAGGGATTGGCTAGCTTCACTTAGCATAATCTGCTCTAATGCCATCCATTTCCCTGTAAATTCTATGATTTTGTCATTTTTTAATGCAGAGTAATACTCCATTGTGTATAAATGCCACATTTTTTTTATCCATTCGTCTATTGAAGGGCATCTAGGTCGGTTCCACAGTCTTGCTATTGTGAACTGTGCTGCTATGAACATCGATGTAGCAGTGTCCCTGTAGCATGCTCTTTTTAGGTCTTTAGGGAATAGACCAAGAAGGGGAATAGCTGGGTCAAATGGTGGCTCCATTCCCAGCTTTCCAAGAAATCTCCATACTGCTTTCCAAATTGGCTGCACCAATCTGCAGTCCCACCAGCAATGTACAAGTGTACCCTTTTCCCCACATCCTCGCCAGCACTTGTTGTTGTTTGACTTCCTAATGGCTGCCAATCTTACTGGAGTGAGATGGTATCTTTTTTTTTTAATTTTTTTTATTGGTTGTTCAAAACATTATAAAGCTCTTGACATATCATATTTCATACATTAGATTCAAGTTGGTTATGAACTCCCAATTTTACCCCAAATACAGATTGCAGAATCACATCGGTTACACATCCACATTTTTACATAATGCCCTATTAGTAACTGTTGTATTCTGCTACCTTTCCTATCCTCTACCATCCCCCCTCCCTCCCCTCCCATCTTCTCTCTCTACCCCATACACTGTAATTCATATCTCTCCTTGTTTATTTTCCCATTCCCCTCACAACCTCTTATATGTAATTTTGTATAACAATGAGGGTCTCCCTCCATTACCATGCAATTTCCCTTTTCTCTCCCTTTCCATCCCACCTCATGTATCTGTTTAATGTTAATCTTTTCTTCCTGCTCTTCCTCCCTGCTCTGTTCTTAGTTGCTCTCATTATATCAAAGAAGACATTTGGTATTTGTTTTTTAGGGATTGGCTAGCTTCACTAAGCATAATCTGCTCTAGTGCCATCCATTTCCCTGCAAATTCTATGATTTTGTCATTTTTTAGTGCTGCGTAATACTCCATGGTGTATAAATGCCACATTTTTTTTATCCATTCATCTATTGAAGGGCATCTGGGTTGGTTCCACAGTCTAGCAATTGTGAATTGTGCTGCTATGAACATCGATGTAGCAGTATCCCTGTAGTACGCTCTTTTAAGGTATTCAGGGAAAAGTCCAAGAAGGGCAATAGCTGGGTCAAATGGTGGTTCCATTCCCAGCTTTCCCAGGAGTCTCCATACTGTTTTCCAGATTGGCCGCACCAGTTTGCAGTCCCACCAGCAATGTACAAGAGTACCCTTTTCCCCACATCCTCTCCAGCACTTGTTGTTGTTTGACTTCATAATGGCTGCCAATCTTACTGGAGTGAGATGGTATCTTAGGGTGGTTTTGATTTGCATTTCTCTGACTGCTAGAGATGGTGAGCATTTTTTCATGTACTTGTTGATTGATTGTATGTCCTCCTCTGAGAAGTGTCTGTTCAGGTCTTTGGCCCATTTGATGATTGGGTTATTTGTTTTCTTATTGTTTAATTATTTGAGTTCTTTGTATACTCTGGATATTAGGGCTCTATCTGAAGTGTGAGGAGTAAAAATTTGTTCCCATGATGTAGGATCCCTATTTACCTCTTTTATTGTTTCTCTTGCTGAGAGAAAACTTTTCAGTTTAAGTAAGTCCCATTTGTTGATTTTTGTTATCAACTTTTGTGCTATGGGTGTCCTATTAAGGAATTTGGAGCCCGACCCTACAATATGTAGATCGGAGCCAACTTTTTCTTCTATCAGATGCAGAGTCTCTGATTTGATATCTAGCTCCTTCATCCACTTTGAGTTAACTTTTGTGCATGGTGAGAGGAGGGAATTCAGTTTCATTTTGTTGCATATGGATTTCCAGTTTTCCCAGCACCATTTGTTGAAGATGCTACCCTCCCTCCATTGCATGCTTTTAGCTCCTTTATCAAATATAA